AAGAACAGGCTTTGAAATCAGACAGCTTTGTCCCCTCTGCTCCTGACCCAGGGAGAATGATGGGTTGTGAGGAGATGGTCTCCCAAGGGCCATAGGCCTCAGGAAAGAGGCCAGGGGCGCGGAGGCACAGCAAACCAGGAAGCTTCTCTCAGGCATGCCTAGGAGCCTCTCAATCCCTGTGAACTTGAGGACGAGCAGGGATGGGCAAACAGAGGCAGCAGGAAGGCATCCTGCAGGGGCCAGGGCATGTGCAAAGGCGTGAAAACTGGAAAGGACTCCACAGCCCAAAGCTCAGGAGGCCCACGAGACAGTGCCATGGGGTAACCACAGCACGTGAGGCTGCAGAGACCACAGGCGCCAGATCACCAGGGGCCTTGAATGAGTTCCATTTATTTTTTCCTGAAAGTAGTCTGGGGGCCATTGAAGAAGGGCAAGCAAAGGCACATCGGGGTCCTGTTTGCATTTTCCATCCCTATGTTAGCTTTCCCATAGCAAAGAGAATGGGGGCCTTCCAGGGGAACCTCTCACAGTCAGACTTGGCCCCAAACATCTCTCGCATCTCATCATCTCAAAGCAGAAGAGAGCATAGAAATCATCTCATCTACTCCCATCAGTAGAGATGAAGAAAACTTACTTTCAAGGGATATGAGTTAGCATCGTTGTGAGTTTAAGTGAAATGAAACTTCCTGCCTACCACTCAGCCCTCCTAAGGTCCACCTCCACCTGCCACAGGACAGCATCTGGGCTCCAGGAGGCTGGAGGAAGGGGGACTCAGTTCTGAGGACATGGCTCAGAGCAGATCCTTTGCAATGTTGAAAAAAATTACCAGTTTTGAGAGCTGATCCAGTCTATTCTATGAACACAAGAAAAATTCTAGCTGGTTTTGTAGATTTTTCTCATAGTGATTAGAAAGTTAAGCCCTTTTAAATCAGAGATTATTCTTGAGCCTCTGCTATTTAAATTACAACTCCCAAATCTTGAATGATGTAACAGACTAAAGTCCAAATGCTGCCTTTTTAATTCTGTGCATCCCATGGAAGTTATTTAATGTGACAGAAGGCCGTGCAGATTGGCCTGGTAGTGAAATCTTAGAAATGTAGTTTGTGCTGTAATGCTCACCATATCCTCAATCCTCTAAAAAGTAAACAGGCTGTTTTGCCATGTTTTCTATCCAGGGAATCACAAACAAATCCAAAGAGGTGCGTGCAATCTAGAATGTACCAAAGGCTGGTGATCTCCCCGGTTAATTCCTTTAACGGACAACAGTGACCAGGTCATGCAGACTAGCCGGCCCTACACTTAGCAGCCCAGAATCGGCAGGCCAACAACTCACTCATTATTCCTCAAACCATCTCTGCAAGATAAGGAGATGGATCAACTAAAACGTGGAGCACAGGTTTATTCAGTCAGTCCCTAACTTCAATCAACGTTCTTAACCATGCAGAGGTACAAAGCCCCTTGCTTCTGGGATACCAGATCACCACAGTAAAGATCATGGTGTCTGGAGAATCCCAAACCACATGTCCCCTAATAGTCACTTCCACTCCACCAGGCAAATCTGTGAAAAGACAGCAGGTCCATTGTTACTGGTGCAATAGATATTAAGTGGTGGATCCCTTCTTCAGAACAGGGATCCTGAAAGGACCAGCGAGCCCAGGACTTGGTGCAGGGGCTCTCCCAGATGCGGGTTCATTGTCACCTCAGGGACCTGCATGTTTATTTCTATTGCACCACAGGCCAGTCTCAGAGAGGGGAGCGCTGACTTAGTTCATATGGACTGCAGGTGGTCCCTGCAGGGAGCTCTTGTCTATCTGAAACTAAGCCTCTGCCTCCTGCATCCCAGGGCCCCAAGAGGCTGGCTCCCTGAACAGGGGCTTGGGATGTGGAAAGCAGAGATACACTAAGATGCTGCTAGCCCTGCCTGAGGAGAAATCATGATGGGGTCCCCAGAGAGAGGGGAGGGTTCAGAAAATCACCAATGTTGGATGACAGGTTGACTTGCTTCTGGAGTGGGAAGCTCTTCTGAAAAAGAAGCTAATGGAGAAGTTCTGCTCTTTCCATTTAACCGATCAGCTCAACTGAGACTCAGAGGACATGACCTGCAGAGATCCCAAGGGAAACCGAGGACTTTCCTGAGTAAACCTCAAATCTACCAATGGAAGCTCAGTCTCCCTAGGGTGTCTGTCGGTCACTAGCAAGAGCCTTGCATGCCATGAGGAAGGACAGCTTCTTAGGTGGACACAGGGAAAGAGCAGTTGTCAAAAATCATCTCTGTCCTGGTAAAGTGTTTCACACACAGTCAGCATAAGACTCATGGCCAAAGCTAGAAGTAAAAATGAAAGTCCTACTGTAATTTTGCTTTTAGTTGGAAATCAAATCATCTGGAAGATTTGCTCAGTAGAATTAACACTTTATAAGATGCCCTTAGTCAATCCAATATGCCGGGAACCCAGAGTAGAGTCTCACTCAAGGTGTGCTCAATGTTACCATTATTTAATATCATTTCTAACAAAGCACCCATTTTCACTATTTGGCTCAGTGAAGGTTTTCGTTCCGTGTTTCGGTGACTCTGCCTGAGCACTGTGGCTTGTGTTTCTGATTTAAGAATAAAATTAAATTTTAAAGAGCAGATATTCAGAAAGTTAGGAGGCAGAAAGCAAAGGTGTGGCGCTTCCTGGGCTCTCCCTGGGCTCTCCCTTGGGGTGTGATTGTCAGATACTGGGAAGGCTGATGTGGGACTTAAAACACCATCTGCCCTGGGATGTCCGTGGAGAAGTAAACTGAACCCTGAGTTTCTACATCACCTGCTGCTGAGCCCTCTCCTTCCTGGGGATAAAAAAAATTTTTTAAAAAAAAGCTAAGCATATCAGCTAACTCAGAAGCAGGACCTAGGGGTGAGCCCTGTGAGGCATTTGATAAGCCCAGCATAACAACAGCATCTTCTCTCCAGAAAAAAAAAAAAAAAGTCCTGTTATAATTGACTTTTAAAATGAATACCACACATACAGAGGTTGCTCCTAGCCAGGGGTCCACACAAACCCATAACAAGCTGCAGTCTTTTCTGGGAAAAAAAAAAAAATTCTTGGCTGTGCCCGGCTGAAATTTTTGCCTTATATGAAATAGGGTCTTGGAAAGAAAAAGCCAATATCATAAAGTTTTCAAATTTGAAAAATAGGGTAATTCCACAAATGAAGAAAGATATCTTTTCAAAAAAAAATATGACAGAAGTAAGAGAGAGAGAACAAATCAGAAAACGTTTTCTGCTTAAATATTCAAAGGCAGAATATGACATATAAAACAGAAATTTCCAATTTGAAAAAAAAGTAACATGTACTTGGAAATGTCCTTGTTTTCTTACTTGTATACCTGAATAGTCTAGTTTTTAAAATGCATTTAACAAATGCAACACAGCTCATTCAGGGTTGATTTGAGTTCACAAAATAATTTTATTAGATGTAAGAAAGCATACAGGCAGCAAAATGAAAGAAACACTCACAGTACAGAAGTCACAGACCCGATGCGGGAGGGTTTTCAGCAGATGTCTGTCCTTTGTACCAATGTCATCTCCGTATCAGTCAACTGCTTATCAGGAGACGACTGTAAACATTTCCACATCCCCATTGGGACCCCCACACTAGCCAGGAAGGGAGCAGCTGGGGAGGCTGTGGCGGTGCTTTCCACAATCCAGGTGTGACAGGATCCCCAGGCTCAGAGAAAGGAACAACGTTTGTGAGCAGGGCCGCTGTGGCTTAGGGGCACTTAACACGGAGAATGAGGCACTGCTCCTTAATTAGGACACCATTAACATTTAAAGACCTTTAAAAAAAAATGGGTCCTCCACTCAGATCAAAGCACACAAAGGGAGGAGCCCGATTGAGCAGTTGGGTTTGAGCTGGGAAGGTGAAGACACAGGGTTCCAGCTGGGTCCATTGGTGGGGCGGCTGCGACACAGAACCCAGCAAACTGTCCTCCTGCATCTTTCCACCTGGGACAGCCATTTGGCTCAGAAAAGCTCTGGGACACGCAAGCAGAGCAGTGAGAGGAGCCCAGAAGCCAGCTATTTTACATAAATACAAAGCCTCCTGCACCTCCCAGCCRCCTAAGAGGTACCCGGAGGGCTGAGCTGGCCCCTCGCAACTGCAATCGCTCCTGGGACCAGCTTTGGCCACGTTTTAAACACACGAGTAGCTATGCTTTTTTTAAAAATTTCACAATCTTTTTAGACTAAAAAATAGCCTTCGCAGCATTTGTCCTTCTCACCTTGGATTTACTCAAGTCCCTGCATCCTAAGGGACCATCGCAGCTGCAGGTCCTGCCAGTCTGCGCTGGTTCCAGAAGTTGCTCATGAGCCTGTGCAACCTCACTCTGTGTTTGCTTCATTGGTTTATAAAGTGCTAGTTCAATRGACAGTTCAAGCTCAGATAACTCGAGTGTATCCTATTAAATATGATAAATATAGATTTATTATGATAAATTCAAAATATCCATATAATACAATAAATAAATAAAACCAATATCAACAAAACATCTCTCCGTTCTGAAAGAAAAAAAAAAAAGCATTGTCATTCCTACTGTAAGGCTCGGTTATTTTTTAGAAATGATTGATGAAGGCATGCACCTACCTTTACAATCTGAAAACTTTGCTTGGAACAGTTTTAGCACCTGTTTGTATACAGCAAACTCAACCCTTCGGAAAGCTTTGATTTTAATGAAGCTGTTCATTGCTGATTCTTTGYCCTATTTTTAAAATCCTAAGATAAGTTTCAAAAATGATTCTGAAGCCAAAGACATGTCCCTGTTGGCTCCCATGTATCCCTGTTTGATGGGCAATGAAAACCATGGAAAATACAGTGGAATGTATTTGAAAATAAACTTGGTTGTCTGTTCAAAAGGGCAGAGGTCCCCCTGATGTCTCAGTCCCACCAGACCTTAGCAGCAACCCCCAAAGAATCTCCTCCAGCTCTCAGATTGCCTGCGCATGGCTGGGCTCACCCAGGAGCTCAGGTTGGATGCTGTCCATTGTGTGTGGTGGGCTGGATCTTCTCTAGAGAGACATCAGTGTCATAGTCCAATATGACTGACAGGGCTGGGGACAGCCTGTCCAGTGGTTTGGCTATTCCGCCTGCCTCCTCCTTCTTCAGGTCCTCAGAGGACCCCACAGCATGCGGGATCAGGTAAACCAGATTGCACTCCTTGGAGATGGAGCCTCGGGGTTCATGATGACTAGAAAGCACCACGGCCCCGTTGTTATTGATGCTAACTGTCTCTATGGCATTACCCGTTATAGGGCACAGCCTGTAGCATCCTAAGAGAGTGGAGAATGCCTTCTGAAAATCAGCATTAAAGGCATAAATGATGGGGTTCAGGGAGGAATTAGCCCACCCAAACCACACGAACACATCAAAGGTGATGGAATCGATGCAGAAGGGCTGGGTCTCCTCAGACCCACAGAAGGGCACCATGCAATTTGAGATGAAGAAGGGGAGCCAGCAGCAGACGAACACCCCCATGATCACGGACAGGGTCTTCAGGACCTTAGTCTCTCTCTTGAAGGACATCTTAAAGGAGCTTTCTGATTGAGAACACTCGACAGGCTTCCCATTCCCTGTGGTGGTCTGGCAGTTCTTGGCGTGGACCGCTGCCCTCTCCAAGGCTGAGATGCGCCGTATTTGTTTCTGGGCAATCCTGTAGATACTGGTGTAGGTGACAATCATGATGGCCACCGGGATGTAAAAGCTTATCAGGGAGGATGAAATGGCATATGTCCTGCTCAATCTGGTGTCACAGTTGTCCTCGGTCTCTTCCAGGAAGGTGGCATTGCCATCGGAGGGGCTKATGGGCTTGGCCTTGTGCCAGCTGAGCTGCACCGGGATGAAGGAGATGAGGACAGACAGAGTCCACGCCACACTGATCAGAATGAAGGCTGCCTTGGGAGTCATCTTCCTCTCGTACTGGAAGGGGCTGGAGATGGCCCAGTACCTGTCCACACTGATCACACACAGGTTGAGGATGGAGGCAGTGGAGCACATGATGTCAAAGGCCACCCAAATGTTACAGAAGGACCCAAAGGGCCAGAAGCCAGCAATTTCAGCCACAGCTTTCCAGGGCATCACTAAGACAGCCACTAAGAGGTCTGACACAGCTAGGGAGATGACGAAAAAGTTGGTCACCTTGGATCGCAGGTGTCGGAACCTGATGACAGCAGCACAGACCAGAGTGTTTCCCAAGAGAGTGGACAGGATGAGCAGTGACAGGAAGCAGGCTGTGAGGATACGGAAGGAGAAGTCCCTCTCCACCGCCAGCCCGGCACCATCCATGGTGGAAGTGTTCAGAGCCATCTTCCAGAAGGAGAGAGCCTCAGGGCTCCAACACCCCTCCAGTTCTTAAGCAGGGATGAGGGTCGGTCAGACCCCACTGTTCCACTCACCAGTGGCTCCCCTGGCAGAGAACSTCACCAGCATTCCATCAGAGAGGGGCAGCAGGAGCTTCAGGGGGAGTCCAGGGCAGCCCCCTGTCCCTTCCYGCTGTTCCCTTAGCTGTCTTCTGACTCCTTCACTTCAGGTCACAGTCACCACCACCACCAGTTGGCCCCTAAATTCCCCAAGGAAAGCACTGGCTTTTTAGCACATATTCTAAGTCATCCACCCTGAGACTCCCAGGCCTCTGCTGTGCCAGTCAATTGCAGTCACAGTTCCGGGTTGCAGCCTCTCTGGTGGGGACAGAGAATTCTCCTCTTTTGAGACGCAGATAAAAATACATGTCTTGTTCCTCCAAGCCCCTCTCTCTCCTCTGCAGCTCTCTAAACGCCCTAAAAAGCAAAGGAAAAACACAGTCGTTCTACAAGACTTCAGCAGATCGCATCTTTGCTCACTGTCAAACCCAATCCAGTCATTAGCTGGGCGACCCAGTCAAAGCCACCTACCTTGCCTTGAATCCTCTCTCTCAAAGCCCCCGGAGCTCGGAAAGTGGACTTCACAAGGCGCCTTGACTCCACAAAGCCCAGGAAGCCCGCCAGAGTCCGACCAGCCGCGCGCAGCGGGAGTTCGGCTCCCTCCGGCTGCGCAAAGATTGCCAGGGAGGATCCGTGAAAGGGACCCTGGGCCAGGCCCCAGGAGGAGAGGCGCCTCCTCGCTGTCAGAAGCCCCTAGAGACAGTTCCAAGCGACTGGAACCAAGAAAAGGGCTACAGGCTCCTGAAGCTTCCCTGGGAGAGGGCACCCCAGGACTAGTCCCTGGGACAGTTTTGCTCCCTCCCTCCTGCAGCCCAGAGCCTGGGTGCCCTGGGGTGGCCTTCACCCCCTCGGGGAGGACCCTGAACCTCCTTACAGCGCTGCCCACTGCCTCTCAGGAGGCTGTGGGAACGCGAGGCACAGAAAGCCGAGCTGGCACGGGCAGGCACTCAGTCCGGCTGGGTTCCCACGGGGCACAGCCCTCCCGGCCCCCGCGTTCCCTCCCCTGCCCTAGGGGCGGGCTGCGCTTGACAGGCAGAGTTGGGTGACAGCCACACGTGGTTCCCCTGGATGATGCTGCTGCAAAGGGGGTGGGTGACGCCCAGGTGAGCGCTTGCGCTCACTGGTTACCTGTCCAGTTCCTGGACCCCTGGACTGTACGCAGCAAGGCACTCGGGACAAATCCCAACATTAAAACCTCAAGTAACCCTAAGTCGCCTGTTCGTGAAGCTTGGCCTAACGTCCCACGCCTCTAGGGGTCAACCTCAAACTCGACCCAAAACCCCGAGCCAGAGCCTGTCCGCTTCCCCCACGCACGCCAAACACAACCACAGGCGCGCTAGTCCCCCCAGCCGCATCCCAGCGCCACTATCTAGCCTGCGACCTGTCGGGGAGGCGCGGGTACTCACCGCGGTCGGGAAGCGCGGCGCTCCGGCGGTGTCCCTGCGCCTGGCGGGCGCTGGCTTCGCGCGAGAGCCCAGTGGCCCGCGCATCCCAGGCTGCGGTCAACGCCGGTCTGCAGACGGTGCCCGGTGGCCCGCGAGCGCCCAACCCGAGCGCCACGCGCTCCACTGCGTGGGCCCGGGGCGCCCTCTGCCGGCGCCTGCGGCCTCCCGAGCCCGCAGTGCCTCCGGGTCTCGACCTCCCTCGCCTTGGCCCGCAATCTGCAAAGGACCAGCGCCTCCTTCTGTTCCTCCTGGGCGGTTACTGCCTGAAAACCTGGGCAAGGGGAGGCGCCATCTCCCTCACTCGGTACTCCTCTGCTTGAAATACCCCTAAAAGCCGATAAGGCGGGAAGTTCCTTCGGCTGGTTCGCCATTCGTGAACAGGTGTCCTGCCGTGTCCGGGTAAGCTAGCGGCAAGCCTGACTCTCAGAGAGAAGAGACCGGCGTTTGCTGAGCAGCCTGTGTCCCAGACACCATCCTGATGACGTTCGGTTCTGTACCACAATCCCTGCACCTAGGACCGCTCAGCTCCGCTTGGCGGGGTAGGAGAGGGTGCTGCGGAAGGTGCAGGCGCCAGGCCAGGGCAATTTCCAAAGCTAAGGAGGCACCCAGCCTGTGGCCTGGCTGCTGCCTGAGTGTTCTTTCAAATTAACTGAGTCTAGAACCAGAAGCCACGAACTAATAACTACCTAATGCCTGGCAGAGCTCCCAGGATCCCTTGTCACCCCCCCCCCAGCAGTGCCTCACAGGTCAGGATTTCCGCTAGTTGTGCAAAAATGGAGACATCATGGTGTCTCCCTGTGTTCACATAAGCCTGGGGATGGGAAGTCACACTGCCTAGATTTTTGTCCCTATGATATAATAGGGTGATTACAAGTCTTAAATGAGATGCTGGTTGCAGAAAACATGGGGCCAAACCTGGGATCTAGTGAGCCCCTCCTGGGCAAGGAACTTCCAGGAATCCTAAAATAGAGGTGAGTATGTATGCTCTCACCTCCATGATCACCACACACCACAGGATTTTCTCTGTAAGAACGTTGGACCTAGATGATAATTCTACCTAATGAATCTGTACCCACTACCTCTTGGTTTTAGATGAGGGACCGCATGAGTGACAGACTCCTTTGCCTGTGCTTATCACTTTGTCCTGCTTCCAACAGCCTTAGTGTCACATGCAGGGCCCCAGACATAATCACATGGAATTTTTTCCATATACATGCCCCAAGAACCACATTCCTTAAGTGTGTATAATGGGACCCTTCCAGATCATTTAGTTAAGGCAGGCCTTCTCCAGGCTTCTTTATGCTTTATTTCATCTCTCTTTCCTTTTTAGGAATAAACACAAATTAAAGGATGTTTCTAGTTCAAGGCATGTGAGCCCAAGTATATAGCTCCCCACATTCTCCCCATCCTGAAGTTTCTACTAACATTGCCCAGAAATAAGCAGGGGGGAGGGGGCAGATTCAGCACCTTGGAAAGCTGGGAACTTTGGGATAAAAGACAGCAGACAGGAAAGGACTGAGACTCCCTTGCTTATTCCATGTGGGGAGGGAAAGCTTCTCAGGGCCCAGGGGCAGAAACCCCCAAAGAACAGGCTACCCACCCCTAGATCAGGGCAGCAGGGTCTTCAGGGCAGGATGAGACCAAGTCGAGGGATGAATGTTCTGTGTAATGGCAGTCCTTGAGAATTGCCCCACACACACACACACAAAGACCCTGCAACACCCGATACTCTACCCACTGGAGCCAGGTCAACCACAGAGAGACTGAGTCTCCAGGGGCATTGGACTCCACAGCACCAGCTCAACAGGCAGAATATACCTGCTATAAAGCATCATTATTGACCAAAATCTTGCAGAAAGAAAATGCCATTCATAACACACTTCATGTCTGCGTCTCTCTTAAGCTGGGCAGCGTCTCAAAAGGAATTCTCTTTCATTGCTGGAAAAATCCTTGACATTCTTTCAAACTAGCTCATGCCAATCTTTGCCTTTTTCCCTCACCTGACAGGCCCAGGTAATCAGATCAACAATGTCACTTGTGTAGTGGATGAGACATACTTTCAACGCCAAGAAAATTTGTCATTTTTAATGTCAGAATATCAAATCTCCTCTTTAGCTTTAGGATACAAGAAAGACCCAAAAAGCCAGGCAGCAAATAGAAACTTGTGAATGCAAAGAGAGGCTGGGGGAAATCCAGGAGAAGAAGAGCGTTGGACTATTTCTCTACATCTCTATAATTCAAAGACAGACACCTGAGATCCCTTTCTGCCAGACGTAGGTCCCTGGACTTTGAATATAATAGTGGAGGGAGGAGGAAAAAGTAAAATGCAGCTAAAATGTCAGGGTTTCTATAACGTCTTTGCTTAGCATCTGGATGGCCATCTTAAGTGACAGCCGCCATTTTAAGGGAAAAGTTTCGCTTTCCTGCCCAAGGGCATTTCTGAGAAAGGCTCACCATTCCCTCACACCAACCCCACCCTTAACTGCCCACATTAGGACCTGCCCAGCTCTAATTCCTGAGCCTGCCCCATAAAAGTCCCAGAAGTAAAGCCTGCGTTGCCTCTCTCTCCTATAGAGAGATGGCCTTAATTGTCAGCTCTGACAAATAAACTCTTAGGTAGGTCTGCCTGGTCTCCATCTTTCATTTCTCACTCTCCCATCTCTCATTTCTCATTTTCCCTTCACTTTCACTTTGCACAGAGTGTGAATTTCAGAGGAACTCACAGTTTGGCTAGAGATTTGGAGGTTTGTCCGATTTTTCTCCCTTGATGCAAGGTAAAGCACAAACCTTTCATTTCATTCTGTAAAAGTCTCCCCACAAAGCCTCAAGCTCAGGACTCTTAAATGCAGGCAGGTATTAGCATCAGCTCTCCCCAGGAGCAAGGACCCACACAAAACACCTTTGTTCCTGGGATTGGCATGTCTTTTGAGCTCTGCCTGGTGATTTATGCACCAYGGGGGTGTGGGGTTAAAAGGCTGCTTTTCAACAGATTTTTATTCGAGGTTTGTAAAAGTCAATGGATACAGAAGGCACACTATCCAAGGGGGAGCTCAATCTCATAAAAGAATAAATAAAACAGCGGAGCTGTCAAGTGTCTCTGATGATCTTTGTAAGTGGGTTCAGGATTTTTAAAGCTGATTTCAAGCCCAAAATGACTGCTTATAGTGTTGGTGAAAAGAAGCGCTGGGCTCGCCCAGAGTAACTAACAGAATTGCAATGCTTCAAAGGATGAATGTAAGTTGTTCTCCAAAATTCCCAATCCTGTGTCCTGTTTTCCTCTCCTATAGTTATTATTGCCATTCAAAAATCAACACCTAGGTTGTTTAAAGCCATTCAAAAATCAACACCTCGGCTGGCAGCAGTGGTGGAGAGATAGCGGCCTGTGCCACGCGTCTCCCATTGTGACATCTTCCTGTCCTCACGTTTTTTCCTGCCCCCCCCC